GAGCCAGGCAGTGACGCTGGCAGTGGGTGATGGGCCTGGATAGAGGGAGCAGAAACCACGTGATTAAAAGCTACTGCTGTGCGTTTTGTAGGGCAAGGGAATGGGCATCGAGGCCAGAGAAGGCCAGAGGATGCGCTCAGATTGGCACCAGGGGAGGAGAAATGGCTGCTTCTAACTCAGCCCAGCTGGGACTTCTCACGCCGCACCTCACCAGTCCTGCTCTCTGTGGGGTAGGCATTTCCCCAAACACACGCACAGTGTGTTTTTCGCACCTCCACCCAGGTGCGCCCTCCATACCAGGTGGTGCACCTGTGTTCGCTCCTCGAGCTGGTGCAGGATCACCGGCCAGTCCAGCCTGGTCAGGTCTCTGCCGCGGCGATGGCGTCAGGCCCTCCCCTGGACACAGTGCTAACCCCCGGGAAGCAGACAGGGTCCAGGCCCCACGTTACAGGGACTCGGGGAATAACTGACCAGCCCCTGGGCCCTGGGGACACACTGCAGGCCTGGCAGACCCCTGGGGGCATTGCCTCTGCTGAGCGTAAATATCGGGGCAAATTGTATGAAATTGACTGGGGGCTTATAGGTCAAAAGTGGTTGAATACCATTAAAAACATTGAATGTCAGCAGTTTCATGCAATTCGACCTAATAGTTTAAATCCTGTTCTCTTTATTGTGTTTTCCAAAAGCACCGGGCTGCTCAGTGTTTTTTAAGTACTGAGGGTGTGGGTTGAAGATGGGTTGTTGCAACCAGAGGTGAAGCTGATGGTAAGGGGCCCTGACTGTAAGGTACCAGGTCGGGCAGGGGCAGCCGGGGCTGTGGGTCGCACTGGTGCTGGGGGAGGGGCTGGGAACACGCAGCCGCCTCATGCTGTGGAGTTCATGGTCAGGGATGTTCACTGGAGCTTGCTCTGCACTGGCATGCCTTGCTGGGCACTTCCTCTTTATCCTTCTTTTAATCTGACGCAGTAAATCTATTTGAACTTGGGTGAAGCCCTCAGCCCACTTCCCCAGGAAGGCGGCAGATTTTATGGGTCGGGCCACATTCCAGGGGACATCCCACACCACCAGTTCAGCTGTTCAGCGGTGTTTACTGAGCACCTACTGTGTCAGGAGTGTGCGGGGAGCTTGAAGGCACAGTGGTGAGCAAAACACCCTGACCCTCCCTCCTGGGTGGGAGGGTCACGAGGGAGAGACAGATGAACGTGAAAGGACCAGACCAGGGTGGAAGCAACCCAAGTGTTGGATGGATGGACGAAACGTGGTGTAACAGGCAAGGGAAAATTATTCAGTCTGAAAAAGGAAGGAGAAAGTCTGATACATGATGCAACATGGGTAAACCTCGAGGACATTATACTGAGTGAAGTAAGCCAAATACTGTATGTATGTCAAAAAGACAGGTACTGTCTGATTCTACTCATGTGAGGGAACTAGAGTAGTCAAGTTCATAGGGACAGAAAGTAGAAGAGTGGTCCCCAGGGGCGGTGGGGAGAGGGGAATGGGGTTGTTTAATGAGCAGGAATTTAAGGTTTTAAGATAAAAAGACTTCCAAAGACGGGCGAGTCAACAACATGAATGTACTTTACACCCCTGAACTGTGCATTGAGAAATGATTAAGACGGTAAATTTCATGTTATGCGTATTTCAACACAATTGAACATATTTTAAAAGATTATTTATTCTTAGAGGGGAAGGAAGGGAGAAAGAGAAAGAGAGAAGAGCATAGATTGGTTGCCCCTTGCACACACCCAGACTGGGGATCGAACCCACCACCCAGGCCTGCGCCCTGACTGGCAACGTTTTGCTCTATGGACGATGCCCAGCCCACTGAGCCACACCAGCCAGGGCACAACTGCACATTGTTTAATTAAAGGGAGAGAAAGAAGCATGCATGCTCTCGAGCCGGCGCAACAGCCCCAGCTCGGCAGGAGACGCGCGGCGGCGGCGGCGGCGACCGCGGGCTCACGGAGTGCTCGTGGTGTGCTCGGCCTGCTGGCCTCCCCAGACACTGCTCTGCCGCGCTTCTTGGTCCCTCCTGATGAAAGCCACACAGGAAGGAAGAGTGAGCCACATCTCTGAGTCTCCCTCAGGGTGTCCCGTCCACTCTGGCCAGGCACAAGGGGACTGTGCCCCAGGGGTGGCAGCAGGGTCCCCATCCTCCCCCGCACCTCATTCTAGTGACCTCAGGACCTGACAAGGCCACCCCCAAGCCCACCACCCCACAGCCACTGCAGGGTCTTCCAGACCAGACCCCGGATCCCACCAGGAAATGCAGTACAGCAGACACTTAGCGCCCCAATGGGCATTCAACGTTCTTTTCCGGGGGGAAAATGTATCACCATCTAAATGTACACACGTCCCTTGACTTGGTCGTTCCACCCCCAGAATGTTCCCTCAGGTGGTGACGGACCCGCGTCTGATGCCATGTGTGCAAGGTGGTGGCCGCGGCGCTGCTCACAGAGTGGAAAATGGACAAGAGCGTCAATGTCCCTTGGTGTGGGACCAGTTTAGTTAAGTGTGATCCAAACCAGGGGCCATTAGAGTGTGAGTCTGCAGACGGTCACTTATGAACAGAGGGGCTGCTGGGACACAGAGCCGAGTGGGGGCAGAAACCGTTCGCCTCTGCAGCATGGGGTGGCAAACACAGGGCCCCCCACCTTGGTTTATCGGCCCGACACCTTGTTTCTACCCTGTGGCAGCGCCGAGCTCCTAAAATTGTTTCTGCTCTTTGAAGGCAACCGTGAGGCTGATGTGGCCCCCGGTGAAAATGGGTTTGACATCCCTGCTTCTACATGATGCTGTTCTTTAAAAAAAATTACGTCTATGCCCAGAAAGTTCACAGCATCGTGTTAAACAGGGCTCCCTCTGTGTGTTAACGTTATGAGTGACCTAAAGTTTATCCATTTTACTTTTTTGTTGTTGTCCTGGTTTTATCACCTATGTATGTGTGTCTCACCTCAGGAAGAAGAAAGACAAAGCCGTTTCCATGGCAGGGGTGGGGAGGCAGTGTGGTGCCGGTCCGCAGCCAACCCCGGCCCCGCTGGTCACACGAGGCTCTCAGGGGCTTGCTTCATGTGGCCTCTGCCCGCCCCCAGGAAGCCCAGCCCGTGCTGGGGGCAGGGGCCAGTGCGCTCAGGGGAGGGCAGGCAAAGCCCGAGCTCACGCTGACGCTGACAGTGAGCCGGCCCAGATGAGCCTACTTCGCTTTGCAGAAGTAGGTGGAGTGAGCCCATCACCTCCGGCGGGGGCCCCTGTTCTCAGGAGCTACGCAACAGCTCCTAGGGACAGGGTGGCCTGGGCAGCTGCTACTTATGGTAGTTATCCCCCCCTGTGTGGCACTTCCCTCCCCTCTACGTGTCCACTCTGCAGGATACTTAGTGTCCACGAGGAGAACCCACTGGGGATTTTTTAAGTTTATTGAATTGTTCAAGTACAGTTTTCTGTGTTTTACTCCCATCCCAGCCCACCCCCCACCACCGGGGATTGATTCACCGCTCAGACACAACTCAGTGCGCTGCTACTTCGGGTCTGTAAACTTTTGGGTTGAGACTCTGGCCTCCAGTCTGGCCTGGGGCAAGTGGCTTCATAAGTCAGAGCCTCGGTTTCTCCATCTGGAAGGTGGGAATAATAATAGCACTTCCTCAAAGACTATTGCACCAGATGCCTCTGGGACCAGGGGAGGAGACTTTTTAATTGTGTATTTTGTGAATTTTGGATCACATGCGTGCGTTAGCAATTCAGAGAAATAGTTAGGTATGGGAGAGAGAATCAGAAGGGGGCTCCGTGCAGCCTGCACCCCTCCAGATGGCCCTTCTGCAGAGGGGAGCTGGGCGGGAGGGGTGAGTGACTCCCACCAGGGACCCGTTGGACTCTGGTCCTGTGTCTGGCACTCTGGGGTGTAAAGCGGGGGCTGCTGGCCGCGGGGAGCAGGGATGCTCGTCACTCCGGGAGCATCCGTCAGTGCTGCACAGCGACACACACCCGCGACGGGGGCTGAGTTTCTCAGGGAAAGCTTGCTGGACGGTTCCCTGTGGGAAGCGTCGTGTGTCCTTCCACCCGGTTAGGGGACCCGGAGCACGTTCCCGCAGTGACAGAGCTGGGCCCCACCTAGTACTTCCCAGCATGTGTCATTGGGGCCCTTTGGTTTCTCTTTCATTTGGATTTGAGTCGCCCCTGGTAGCAGCCGCTGCACCGAGGAGGCACAGAGGAAGCTTGGGGAGTGGGGACACTGTCCGAGAGGGAATCGGGGCAGACCTGGCCCTCTGAGGTTCCCTTCCCCCTGTCAAGCAGCAGACTCGGTCCACAGGCGGTGAAGTTGTCCCCGTGTGTCGGGTGAGAGGCTGAGGGGGACAACGACAGTCATGAGCATCCGTCCGTTTTGTCCAGCGGCCCGCTGTGCCCTGCACTGGGCCGATGTCCTTTGTGAGTCCGAGCCCCACAGCCGCCTTGTGAGATGGACACTGTGCCCATGTCCGCCTACAGGTGACGAAATTGAGGGTCAGGGAGTGTTCCCAGCTCTCAGCTGCGGGGTGACAGGTCCAAGACTCAAACCGCCAAGGCTTCCTGTTCCCCGAAAAGGTCATGTCGTTCCTTCACACATTCCCACTCTCATTAGAGACCACAAGTGTATCTCCTCCCCCGGAGAAGAGGAGAGTGGCCCTGGGTGTCGTGTGAAGTAGGCATTGAGTTCGGGCCCTTGTCTGGGTGGCAGCTCTGATTCTGCTCTGTGGCCTTCTCTGAGACTCCAGCCCTCCCGTCGCCCGCTGCAGGTTGTCTCATTCCGAGTTGCTGTCCTGACAGCTTCCAGTGCTGTGTGGTGCCTGGCCAGCCTCCTCCTCCAGCCTCCAGAGTCCCAAGGGGGAGGGGCGGGCAGGAGGTCGCAGGTGGCATCTACTGAGCACTGTCCAGCTTTGCACCAGGAGGGGAGGTGGGCCGGCGTGGGTTCGTGGTGTGAGGGGCGGCTCTGCATTCTGCGCGCTGAGCAGCTGTCTCCCCCTGCTCAGGTCTGGAAGAGGTCAGGGGCCTGGTTCTACAAAGGGCTGCCCAAGTACATCCTGCCCCTGAAGACCCCCGGCCGGGCCGATGACCCCCACTTGCGACCTTTGCCTGTGGAGCCGGCAGAGCAAGAGCCCAGAAGCACGGAGACCAGTCGAGTCTACACGTGGGCCCGTGGGAGAGGTAGGTCCCGTTTGCCCCTTCTGTCGTGGTAGCAGCTGACACCCAGGCCGTCAGCCAGCCAGTGCCACGGGCACCCGGCCAGTGGCCACCACAGTCTCCACGTGGCTCTCACCAGTGTTCCATCCCTCTGTGTGTCCTCGACTCGCCACCTGCACCCCCACGGGTGGCGGGACGGACCTCAGCACCATGACTGCTTGCATCCTGTGGGAGCCATCCCACACACAAGCGCTAATTGGAGGGTGGGGAATGCCAAGAGCAGCGCTATAGATCTTTGCAGAAATGTGATGTCAGCTGAGGTTTTTTGCAAAGTATGAAAGTGTGTCTTTCTAAGGCAGGCTGGTGCCGTCTCTTCTTAGCACTTGTCTTGGGTCTCAATAAGGGGAGACTCTGGGCTTTCTGGGTCCTAATGAGGAAAATGACCTTGTGCCAAGGGCCCCTTGGTATTTGTGGTGGATGCACCCAGGGGGCCACCTTCAGAAGGGGAGCCCCAACACACTGGCAGTCACCATATTTTGCCATGTGTTGTGCACACTGTACACGGGGTTCTTATACCAATGGTATGCAATCAGTATACCCATGTGTAATGCACATCCTTCTTTTTCCCTCAAAATTTTGGGCAAAAAAGTGTGCATTATGCCCGGCAAAACCCGGTATATGTAAAAGTACCTGGTGTGGCAGGTGTCTCCGCACAGCTTGCAAGATGCTTTAATGTTTGCGGTTATTTCCAAAGCTCCAGGCCACACAGCAGGCTCCACAGCAGGCGGGGCTGGTGTTTGGCAGCCCGTGTGAGAGATGAGCAGCCTGAGGCCCAGAGGAAGGCTGGTGTGTGGCAGGGCTGGGACCCAGAGGCCGGGTCCCGCCCTCTGGGCTCTCGTCCTTCTGCCCCGAGGGGCCTCGTTTCAGCGTAAGACTCACGGACCGAGGGTCCTAAACGAGTTGAAGCCAGAGAGGTGAGGGGCTCCTCCCGATCCAGGGGTTTTCTTGGGTTTCTCAACCAAAGACAATAGACATGCAGCTGCTGCCAAGGGCTCTGAAGCGTGTCTGTCTTTGGATTCTCACCTGGCAGCTAACTGTCTTTGTGCCATTTAGGCTGTTTTCTTCTTCTTACAGAAGTACAACATGTTTATTATAAAATTGTGAGGGTTATCAAAAGCTATCATTTAGCTGGGAAAAATTCCCTGTAGGTTGGCCCCTCCAAGCATGACCAGCAGTTAACAGCTTGGCGTCTGTTCTCCAGACACCTCTTCCTGGCCCTCACTCGGCTCTTCCGCAGCAGGCCGTCTCCGCTGATTCTTCAGGACTCTGTCTGCTCTTCTGATTCCCAGGAGTTCGCCTTCCCTGCCCTTGCAGGGACTGGGCCCGCTGGGGCTGGCCCGCCTCGGAGGGAGCCTGGGGGATTTGCTGGAGAAGTGGCTCCCTCTTCCCTTCTTCCCTGTTTCCACCCTTGGTGCCGGGCTTTCCTCACTCCCAGGCCTGCCGGGGAGAGTCAGTGCCCTTCAGACTGAGGGAAGAGACCCCACAGCGGGAACCAGCTGGTGGGCACTGTCGGGGTTCGAACGGTGGGCCCCGGGGCCCACCACCTCACCCAGAGGGGAGATCCCTGCCCTGTCTGCTCCAGCATCAGCATGGCACACGCATGCACACACGTGCACACACGTGCATGCACAGTGCAGCTCCTCCCCAGCCATACGGACACAGGAGGCCTTTTAATGACGTGGGTGAGGAGGCCAGGGACCCGCACACTCAGAGTGGGCACTGTTTATTAACCAAGTCTGCACTGAGGCCAGGCCGTGTGGAGGCCCTTTGCGACTTCGGTCTCCCTCTGCACACCAGGCTGGGAGCCCCCCACCCCCCAGAGCTCCATGCCAGGCACATTGCAGCCCCGCGATGACCCATATGTTAGCGCTGAGCAGAAGGAGGTGGCCCTTCTGCTCGACAGGTGGCCTACAGGTCTCACCCAGGGACAGCGGGACAGTGAGGGCAGGCTGCGGAGCTGGTGGCGGGAGTGGCAGGAGGAAGGCAGAGGTTCTGTGGCACAGAAGCCAAAGTGTCAGAGGTTTGTGAGGAAGGGCTCCAGAGAGCCACCAACTTGGCCGATTCTTCTTGGCCTGATCTTGGGCAGTGGTGTTTGTCCTTTCCATGGAGCCTGTGCACAAGCCAGGATCTGTGCTTTCTGGTTGCACTTGGGTCCCATGGCCGTCCTAGACTTGGCTGTGCAGTCACAGAGGCTCTCGGGTGGCTGCCAGCTACTCGTGGGAGACCGCAGGCCTGGGCCAGCTGAAACCATCCTTACAGGAGGTCCTCCCTGAGGCTACAGGCAAGGGCGGAACCTTCCATGAGGTCGGCCCCGTACTAGCCCTTCTGTGGTTCACATGGCTTCAAGGTCAAGTCTGTGGCTGGAAGGACTCCGGCATGTGTGCCGCTGGGAAGCCCCCCAAGCTTCCAGGGGCTGCAGCTTCCATCTGATTCCTTCTCAGGTTGGTCTCCTGGAAGCCGCCAGGTTCCTGGCAGCAGGTGGGCCCCATGAGCAGCCTTGGGAGCGTGGCACAGGGATGTCACCAGGCCTTTCCCGACCGCTGCCGACTGGGGCACCAGTTGGTGTTTTTCCACCTTTTAAAGCAGTTTCTCTCCCCATCCCAGGCCCACCATCAGCAATGCCCAGGTGCCAGGCAGATGGTTGGGGTCAGACCTGCATTGTGTGATCCGGGTAAAGCGGGTCTCATAGGCCTGGCCCTCATGTCACCCCATCCAGCCAAATCCGAGCTTGAGGCCCGGGAAACAGGGACCAGCCTTGGGGTGGGGTCTCCCCCACCACCTGAAAGCTGCATGTGGGCAAGGGCACAGCTATCCTGGGCAGCCTGATTTTTCAGCACACAGCATGGAAGAGGCACAGGAGAGATGCTAATTAGGTGAATGAATGAACCACCCACCTGCCCCAGGATATTCGAAAACCTTTGGAGAAGTTTCATTAGGGCCCACAGGCTCCTCCAGGTCAGGGGTCCCTTGGGCAGCGCCAGGAAACACTCCAGGATGTTAGTGTCCTCGCTCTCATGAAGAGTCTCACCCCGGCTGCTGCCTGCAGGGGCCCAGGGCCAGCGTCCCCCTTCCGCCCCAGAGTCCTTGCTCCCTGGCATGGAAGCTGACCCTGACAGCCACACACTCTCTCCGGCCCTCTTTCCCACGTCGACCCTAGCCCCTGTTCTTCCCGTCTGCTTCTCCCTCCCTCCCGCTCCCGCTCCCTGGGGCTGGTGTACCTGTGGCCCGCAGCTCTCCCCCTCTTCCAGCTCACCCTGCTTTCTTTCTCCTGCCCTTTCGGATCAGGAAAGGTAATCAATAGATACAAGCCGTGAACTTTTCAGTTCACAAAACCATCAAATGAAATGTATTGATGTTTCCAAGGCAGGGTCCTTTTCTTCTTCCTTTAAATTTTCTTTGTTAATTTTTAACTGCATAAGCATACATAGTATATTTTAACAAGTTAATTCAAAAGCATATGAAAAATTAAAGTCTCTTGCTGTCATCTCTAAAACCCTTTCTCCCTGTTCCTGCAGACAGATACTTGATCTTGGGTTATTTTTCGTTTTGCTTGGGGTTTTTGCTTTTGTTTTAGTAACAGAAATAGGCTTTTACACATAACTCTCCATGTTGCTTTTTCAAATCATGGGCACCCCTCCAGATCAATAGATGTAGTTTTACTTTATTATTTTTAATAGCTGGATAAAATCCCATTATATCCTGTATTGTTATTTAATTCACCTATTGCTGGACATTCAAATCGTTCCTGGCTTTTCATAACTGCGAAACAGCCTTGTACGTAGGTGACACCGTGTTTCCATGGGGCAGGTCTCCAAAAATGGAGCTGCGTGTGTCAAATTTCAATAGTCATTGCCAAACTGTATTCCAAAAACGTTTGCTAAAAAAAGCTTTCACACTCATTTATTCCCGCATCCTTGCCTGCCGTGAATAGTATTGGTATTTACCATCTTGGCAAGTATGCCAGATGAAAAATGGTATTTTGTTACTTTAATTTAAAAAATTTGCGTGTCTCTTCATATCTTTATTACGTGTTCATTATTTAGGTCCTCTTTTAAAAATTACCTGTTTAAATCCATTGATCATATTTTATTAAATTATTTTCTCGTATTGAAATGTTAGGGATACTAAATGGTTTGCAAATATTTTTCTCCTTAACTTTACATTTTGCATAGTCTTTGCCATTCAAAAATCGATTTCACCATTCAAAAACACTTTTTTTTCTTACTTTTTGTGAAGTCAAGCATGTCTGCCTTTTGCCTAGTGGTTTTTAGTTTTCCTTTGAAATGTCTTCTTCTCCAAGGTTAAAAAATGTCTGTTAAGTAAAAAGTTTAAGTAACCTAATGATAAAAGGAAATGACCTGAAATGATAAGTCTACCAAAAAGGGAAATCATCTGACACCAAACACCATGTAAAGTGGTGGAGCGCTGAAGCCATGTTCGGTCAGAATGCAAACCACGCCCACCCCATGGTCCCCATCGTTCAACAGTATTTTATTGTATTTAACGACTGTCATAAGGCAAGAAAATAAAATAGCCCTGGCTGGTGTGACTCAGTGGGTTGAGTGCCAGCCTGCAAACTGAGGGCTCACCAGTTCGATTCCCAGTCAGGGCACGTGCCTGGGTTGCAGACCAAGTCCCCAATTGGGGGCATGAGAGAAGCAACTGATGGATGTTTCTCTCACACATCTAGGTTTCTCTCCCTCTCTTTCTCCCTCCCTTCCCCTCTCTCTAAGAGTAAATAAATGAAATCTTTTCATTATACAAAGGAGAAGAAAATAATCTCTTACTATTAGAAAAGAGAAGAAATGCTTATTTGCAGATGAGGTGATGGCAAGCCAAGAAAGCCCACAAGAATCCACCATGATAAACAACCCACTAGGATTAATGGGAAAACTTGGGAAGTGATAGCACATACAGTAAATCGATGGTTTACACAAAGAATCAATGGTGTTACTCTGTACTGA